ATAAAAATAAAAATTGTTTCTAAGTTGTGAGAATAGTTTTTCCTTCTGAGAGTTGATAACTATCCAAAATTATGTTTTCTGGGTTTTTCTCTATATTTAGAAAATTTTTATTCATTTAATTCATTGGGAATTTGCTAACTGCTCTCATATGAAGGTGAAAATAGATATTTTCTAGGCCATTATCTTTATACTATGTATTGATAAACTATTCCCCACTAAGTTGAACTTTTTATTTTATTTATTTATTTATTTGAGATAGAGTCTCACTATGTCACCCTCGGTAGAGTGCTGTGGTGTCACAGCTCACAGCAACCTTAAACTCTTGGGCTTAAATGATTCTCTTGCCTCATCCTCCCAAGTAGCACCACAAGTGCCTGACACAATGCCCAGCTATTTTTTTGTTGTTGTTACAGTTGTCATTATTTTTTTAGCTGGTCCAAGCCGAGTTTGAACCCACAGCCTTGGTGTATGTGGCCGGCACCCTACCCACTGAGCTATGGGTGCTATCTAAGTTGAACTTCTTAAATACATATATTTTTGAGACAGGGTCTCACTCTATTGCCTGAGCTATAGTGCAGGGTCATCATCATAGCTCACAACAACCTCAAACTCCTGGACTGAAGTGATCCTCCTGCCCCAGCCTCCTGAGTAGCTGGGACTACAGATGCACACCACCACACTCAGCTAACTTTTCTATGTTCTTTTTAAAGATGGGATCTTCTGTATTGTTCAGGCTGGTTTCAAACTCCTGACCTCAAAGGATCTTCCTGCCTTGACCTCCCAAAGTGCTAGGATTACAGGAGTAAACCACCACACCCAACCTAAGTTGAACTCTGAAATTTTTTTTTAAGTTTAATTCACCTATGTAACACCCACTCTTAAGTTTGGATGTTAATAATGCCCATATCACAAAATGAGGATGAAAGTCAGGTTACGTGGGGTAAGCATAGCATCGGTCACAGTTTAAGTTTTGGCACATAGTGAGTCCTCAACAAGCGATAATTCCATTTCCTTCCGACCACCTCTATAGACACTTTCCCCACACACTTCCTTTGTCCCACACACATACACTCTCTCAGATACTGAAACTATGGAAGGAAAAACTTTCTAAAAAGACAGGTTGATTCTGGAGGTCAGATGTGCAGCCAGAAGTTAGATGACCTCCAATCAGCATGTTTAGAGAGAGATTCTATTTCTTTCCTGAAGTCCTGGATGGATAACTTCCAAATGCCAGTTTTGAAACTAATATCAATGCATGGTGACACTTTCTGTGTTTCTCAGTAAAAACCAGAAAAATAAAGACAAAAGAGTAAGTTTTTATAAAGCCATTTTAACTAACTGTTCTTTATTTGGAGACTATTGTCTTCCTATTTTTTTTAAGCATTAAAATTTCTGGCTCAGCGCCTGTGGCTCAAGTGGCTAAGGCGCCAGCCACATACACCTGAGGTAGCGGGTTCAAATCCAGCCCAGGCCCAATAAATAACAATGACGACTGCAACCAAAAAATAGCCAGGCGTTGTGGTGGGCGCCAGTAGTCCCAGCTACTTGGGAGGCGGAGGCAGGAAAATCGCTTGAACCCAGGAATTGGAGGTTGCTGTGAGCTGTGATGCCATGGCATTCTACCCAGGGTGACAGCTTGAGGCTCTGTCTCAAAAAAATTTTTTTCCTTTGTTTTTGTTAAGCGATGAAGAGATCAGGTGATAGTTGTTATCCTGAAATGTCTACACTTGGCATCATCCTTGACTGCTTAAAATTTTGCTGCTTCGCAAAACCCTGCTTCACAAAAATCTCTCTCACAACAAGATCAATTCTGAAGTTCACTGCAACATCACAAGAATAGGATTCAATGATTGTGATCAACATTTTTTCCCATTTTTCAGAGCACTGTGCACTATGCATAGTAGGCGATCCATTACTTTTGTGGGTTAACTGAACGAATGGTGTTGTAGGGCAACACCTGGCAGTTTGTTTGCCATTGGCCAGAAAGAAACTCAGGAAGGAAAAGCCAAACTTGATTGAACTGAGAACTGTAGACCAGGCATTTACCTCTGAGTATTGTGGATACATTCGAGCGCTCCTCTCGCCCAGCCGTCAGCACCTCGGACAGCTCAGCCGCAATTACCCTGGTCTCTGAGGAACCCTAACTAAACACAGACAAAGGCATTTTTACATTATCTTTTCCTTATTATTTAAACAAGCGCCTCCTGTTCATACATAAGCCTTCCTCCTTGCGCCCTTAAACCTCCCTCTCAGATTGCTTGCCTCGCAGTTTGCAATTCCCTAGCAAAACGGCCAGCTCCAATCCCAGCTTCAGAAATGCCAATTTTAATTAAAAGTGCAATTTTCAAATCCGCCCAAAGCTCAGACAGGACATGGCACACTTGCTGCCCCATGATCTTTCTGCCTGCTTTGTTGATTAAAATGGTGCCAATCTAAGTGCTTTGTCAAATCTTCGCACAAAGGAGGAGAAATTGACATTTACACCTTTATACCGGCAAGAAAGTGATATATTAGATTCACCTCTATTGCCACAAAGGCTTGACTGTGGCTTAAGGGCAGAATTGGGCCAAAAGGTCTCCAGTGATAGCTCTGTTTCAGTGTTTCAAGCTTGGCTCTTTCACCAGCTGGTGGTGATGGTGGCGGTGATGGGAGTAACTAGGCCACCCCTCTCTTCCCAGTCGGTGCCCTTTGTACCTATGCAAGGACACTAAGCTTCCAGAGTATGGTTCTTTAATTTTAGGGAACAAAAGGACAACCCAAAAGATTCTCTCTCTTTTTTTTTTTTCTTTTTGAGACAGAGTCTCAAGCTGTCGCCCTGGGTAGAGTGCCATGACATCACAGCTCACAGCAACCTCCAACTCCTGGGCTGAAGCGAGTCTCCTGCATCAGCCTCCCAAGTAGCTGGGATCACAGGCAGCTGCCACAATGCCTGGCTATTTTTTTGGTTGCAGCCGCCATTGTTGTTTGGCGGGTCTGGGCTGGGTTCGAACCCACCACCTTAGGTGTATGTGGCCGGCGCCTTAGCCACTTCAGCCACAGGCGCCAAGCCGCAAAAGATTCTCTTAAAGTGCAAATTCATTGGCTCCACTTCTAGAAATTCTGACTCAGTAGGTTTAAAATGTGGTCCCCAAAATCTTAAGTTTAAGGTAATGTTTAGATCAGTGTTTTTCAACTTTTTTGGGGGGGGAGGGCTAGGGCTAGGTTTGAACCTAACACCTCCAGCATATGGGATTGGCACTCTACCCCTTTGAGCCACAGGCGCCACCCTCAACTTTTTTTTTTAACCTCATGGCACACTTGAACCTATAGCTCAGTGGTTCTTAACCTTCCTAATCCTGCAACCCTTTAATACAGTTCTTGTGGGTCATGACCCACAGGCTGAGAACCACTGCTACAGCTAAACTTCCATGGCACAATTAAATTACATTGATCAAAAAGAGTAAAAAAAGACAAAGAATATACTTATTGTGCTTTGAACTTCTTTTGAAAATAATGTCATTAATGATTTTTAAAATTTTTTCATGGTACACTGTCGAGAATCACTGCTTTAAATCATAATCCGATAAAATGTGTTCTAGTAATTCCCAGAAATTTGGCTACAAGGGTCTGAGCTATGGACTGGGGCAGGGGTGAAACCCTGGGCAGTGAATCTAGAAGGATGATCGTATCCAGCTTTGACATCTACATTCTGGTGTCCTTGGCCAACTGATGTCCTCTTCATGTTGTCACTTTTCTACCTTTATAACTGAAGGGTCCTGCAATAGACCACCAAGTTGATGCTATTAATGTGCAAAGATGTTCTACAAATCAAAAAGAAAAAGAGAAAGCACCTGATACAAAGATGGGTAAAGTGATACCAACGAGCGTTTCTTGGAGAAGAAAACACAATGAACAAAAATTTGAGATTGTCCATCTTACTAGTGGCCAGGTACGTGCAAATTAAAATGACAATAAGCCCTTTGGGTACTGCTTGTTTTGTTGTTTTTCTTTTTTTTTTTTTTTTTTGAGACAGAGCCTCAAGCTGTCCCCCTGGGTAGAGTGCCATGGCATTACAGCTCACAGCAACCTCCAACTCCTGGGCTCAAGCGAGTCTCTTGCCTCCGCCTCCCAAGTAGCTGGGACCACAAGCGCCCGCCACAACGCCCGGCTATTTTTTGGTTGCAGCCGTCATTGTTGTTTGGCGGGTCCAGGCTGGGGATTCGAACCCGCCACCTTAGGTGTACGTGGCTGGCGCCTTAGCCAGTTGAGCTATAGGCGCCGAGCCTGTTGTTTTTCATTTATGCTTCATTCAGTTGCTCACCATAGTGGGAAAGAGAGAAACTTGTGAATTGGTAATCACCAGTGTTGAAAGGGTGTGGAGAAAGGAGAATTCCCTATATCTCCGGTGAAGCTGTGAATGACTGCAATGTTTTGAGAAAGCGATCTGTCAGGATTTATTAAGATGGAAAAAGTGCATTCTCTCGTTCAGCAATCCGGTTTGGGGAATTTATCCTACACGAGAAATGCATCACAACGTGTGAATATAAGCAATGAAAGTTCATCGAGCATTATTCGTGGTGGCAGAAAACTGGAAATTACTTAAAAGTCTATCCACAAAGGACTAGAGTAGACTCTGCTCCATCCCAATTGAGAAATATTCTACGGTTATTGAAAAAAATCTATCAGATCTGGAACTGTTGATCTTGAATGACATCCATGATCTATTGTTCAATATAATGTGAAATGTCAAATCACAGATTAATGAGTACAATATCCCATTTTCTTGAAGAAGATAAAAAAGCTGTAGATTGTCTCTAGATGTGTGGGGATGAGCTTGGCATCATGTGTAGAAGAAAATACCCCAGACTCTTGATATTGATTTATTCCCCAAATGAGATTATCAGGGAGATGGGAAACTATAATATTTTCTTTTCTTTTTTTTTTTTAATAGGGGAAAGTATGAAAGCAGTCCCCCACTACCACAAATTATGCAGTCGAGTTTCCCACATTTGGGGAAAGCACAGGGGTCACCCCATCTAGAGTGCAATGCATAAGGCTCTCCCTGGGAAAACCACCTTTGCAATCATGGTATCTCCCCTGCCAGGTAAGTATAATATTTTCTTCATTCACTTCCACATTGTATGACTTCTTCCAAATGAATCTAGTATTACTCCTATAAGTGGACAACTATGAAACTGACTTAAGACCTAATCAGGGGATCACTTAGATCCTTCCAACTCCTACAACCTTGGGACACTCACCTCTTTCTCCTTCCCTGAATCAAGATCTATTTATGTCAAAGATTCAAAGTCACCCAGAATTAGGCTAGAGCCTCAGGGTAAAGTCCATTGTAGTGTAACACAGAGTCCATGCGGGAGGCCCCAGGACCCTGAAGTTGGATTTTGTGACCAGATTGTACCTCCTGATTCTAACCCATTCTGGGGTCTTGCAGGTGAAAAGACAAAGCAGTGCCTTATCTCGCCTCAAGTTCTCCCAGAACATCACCTGGCTCCTTTCTACGCTATGAAATTCACAGCCAGGACTACTTGGGATTCTCTGGGGACTAAGCCATACTATAACTCATGAAGACGATCTAAGGGAAGTCCAAAAGACTTCAAGTTCTAGCTGACCCTGTTACTGCCACTGTGAAGTTGCTACCAGCCACACACGCACAACATCAAACAGGATGCTGATGAGAGAGGGTTCCCTGAGAGCCACCCCCAGCCCTCCCTTTGCTGTGCCAGGCTTCTCCTGCTCATGTCCAGAGTACAGATCCAGGGACTGAGGCGACAATGATGCTTTCATTTCTATCCCTGTTAAGAAGAATAAAATACACCTCAAGGATAGAAAAATTAAAAGATACAACTTTGCAGAGTTTATTTAAAAATTCTAAAGTAAACACCCATTTAACCCCACTCCAAGCAAGAAATAGAACATTATCTGAGATGCCTCATGTGATGCTCCCTAGTCATGCCTTCTCCTTCCCTTCAGAATAAACCAGTATTCTGCTTTTATGGTCAACAATGTCCCTGTTTTCTTTTAAACCTCTCCCACCTTTGTATGCAACCACTTTTGTCTTCTTTGAATTTGCTATAAATGGATTCATGTTATGTATTTGTGTTGACATATGAAAAATGTATCCCCGTTGCTATGTGTGGCTGCAGTTCATTCCTTTTCACTGCCATACAGTATTCTGCAGTACGATGACACCACAATTAATCCTTCTACCTACAGTAGGCGTTTGGGTTGTTTCCAGCTATTGGCTTTTATGAACCATGATAATTGTGTATATGTCTCCTGATGTATACACAAGTGTCTTTCGAAAGAAATGGAATTGCTGGATCAGAGGGCTTGCCTATCTCCAACTTTACTTGATAATACTCAACTGTTTCCCAAAGTGGCTCTACCAATGGACACTTCCACCAGCAATGACAGAATTCCTAGTGCTCCACCATCTCACCAAAATTTTATGGATGCTCTTTCTCTTCTCAGACTCTTTGAACATGCTGGTCCTTCTTCTTAGAGCCCCCCCTTTCCCTATTTTATTTCTCTTGCAATCTCTAGGTTACCATTAAGGATTCTTCCTACTGGAAGCCTCCCCTGACTCCTTTGATCTGGGTAACCTGCCACCTCCAGCTCCCACAGGCCCCTGCCCTGCCCCATTCATTGTAGATATGACACTGTATTGGCACTGCCCACTCACTTTTCTATCCTGGCCCCCACAGGATTGAGGGTTCCCTGAAGGCAGGGGTATATCTTGGTCTAATGCAGTGTCTGGCACACAGTAAGTGCTCCGTTCACGACTGTTGAATAAACAGGTAAAACCCATTTTGCTCCTCAACCTGTGGCTCTTCTTAACCATCAGGAAGCCAGGTGACACTAAGGCTTTTTAGAGAATTGTTGCCAAAACAACAAATAATAACTCTGGGGAAATTAATTGTCAGATCTGGTTCTTTCATTAATAGCTCATCAAAGGACGGTGAGCCCCCAGTGGGCCTCTTAAAAATAAGTAACTGATCAGCATGGAAGGAAGGGCATCCTGCTTCCAGAACCCCCATCACTACGACAAACACACAAACAGGCACACCTCCTGTGAATTGCTGGCCCTGGCCATTTAACACAGTTATTACCAACTCCCACTTAGTGAATTATGAGCAAGAGCCTCAAGAGAGCTTTCAAAGATCTTCAAATGGATGTTTAAAAGCCTGCAGTTGCTCAGACAGGCTCAGCTAATGGCATTTATTACTTGGAGGATAGGGTATTTACATAAAGCTGGATTTTTATTATAACAGTCAGATGTTTTCTGAGGGGAGGGGTGGGAGGGAGAAGAAAGGGCGAAGGTGCATGAATCTGTTTCTATTCAATTTGAGAAGTTGGCAAACCCAGCTGATTCTCTCAGATGTCAGCATGCCTAGGGTGGGGGTTGAGCTGGGAGCTCCTGGTACAGGAATGACCAGGTACTGAGAATGGCACTGGGCTCCAAAGACTCAGCACCCTGGACAGTTCCCAGCATCCGCCTCTAATTTGTTGGTAGGTACATTCACAGATCATTCTCTTTTTTTTTGGATACAGTTTAACTTTGCCACCCTAGGTAAAGTGCTCTGATGTCATAGCTCACAGCAACCTCAAAGTCTTGGGCTCAAGTGATTCTCTTGCCTCAGCCTCCCGAGTAGCTGGGACCGCAGGCACACTCCACAATGCCCAGCTACTTTTAGAGACAGGGTCCCACTCTTGCTCAGCCAGGTTTTGAACTTCTGAGCTCAGGCAATCCACCACCTAGGCCTCCCCGAGTGTTAGGACTACATGTGTGAGCCACTGCACCTGGGCCCAGCCCCAGACAGTTCATTCTTAACAGTGTCCTTCTGTTAATGATTTGGGGAGTTCCCTCATTTATCCTCATTTTAGTTCAGAATGGAGATAATCAAGGACATTGACTTCCCAGCTTCCAGCTCTAGGCACCCCTATGTGTTTCTCTGCATGACAATGGGCAACATACAAATGCATCAAAATCAGTTATTACGGGCCTCAAGGAATTATATATTGTTGTAAAACAAACCACCTTCAAAACCGAGAGGCTTAAAACAATAATGATTTATTATTTCTCATGATTTCATAGATGGACTGGACTTTAATCAGTTGGCAGATGAGTTGGGCTGGAGGATCAGATGGTGGCTAGGGATTTAATGGAAGAGGTGACACAAGGGATGAGTCTGGAAGAGTAATATGTGTTTTCCAGGCAGATAGCACTGAGAAGATGACGCAAAACGAGAGTCAAGGTATGAAACAACATGGGGGGTTTGGGAAGCCATGGACAGTGGCAAGTGGTTCTAAATGACCAGATCAGGCTCGGCACCTATAGCTCAGCAGCTAGGGCGCCAGCCACATACACTGGAGCTGGCAGGTTCAAATCCAGCCTGGGCCTGCCAAACAACAATGACAACTATAACCAAATAAAAAAAAAAAAGCCCGGCATTGTGGTGGGCACCTGTAGTCCCAGCTACTTGGGAGGCTGAGGCAAGAGAATCGCTTAAGCCCAAGAGTTTGAGGTTGCTGTGAGCTGTGATGCCACAGCACTCTACCTAGGGTGACACAGTGAGACTCTGTCTCAAAATAAATAAATAAATAACCAGATCATATGAGAGACTTGGAGGGAGAATTACTTCAGATGACTCTGGGAAGATGAGTAGGGCACTGGGTCAATTGGCATTATCCCATAGGCATTGAGGAAGCCTGGAGCAGAGAGATATTATTTAAATAAATAATTACTATATACTCGGCACAATGCCAAACCCTGGAGATGCAGCATTATCTTATTTAACTTTAACCATTATCACCATTTCATATATGAAGAAATTGAGGCTTACCTGGGATTGCATACCTAGGTGGTTTAACTCCATATTCAATTGTTTTAATTCCTCTGTTCCATAGCTCTGCTAAGGGCGTTTGATTTGGGGAGTATAACAGGTAATGTGGAATGGGGCAGGATTAGATTTGTATTTTATTTTATTTTATTTTATTTTTGAGACAGAGCCTCAAGCTGTTGCTCTGGGTAGAGTGCTATGGCATCACAGCTCACAGCAACCTCCATCTCCTGGGCTCCAGCGATTCTCCTGCCTCCACCTCCCAAGTAGCGGGGACTACAGGCACTCGCCACAGTGCTCAGCTATTTTTTGGTTGCAGTTGTCATTGTTGTTTGGCGGGCCAGGCTGGATTCAAACCCCCCAGCTCAGGTGTATGTGGCTGGCACCTTACCCACTGGAGCCACAGACGCCAAGCCTAAATTTGCATTTTAGCAAAAAAAAAAAAAAGCTGGATGGAATTTCATAATTTAATAAACACAAAAAAATGTTGGGTTAAACAAAGTTTATCAGAAATCTGTGCTGAACTTCTCAGAGCCTTTAATAAGCTAATGTGCACTAGAAAGTAAATTATGTGACCAAGGGGATTTTTGTCTCTTTTTTTTTTTTCCAGTTTTTGGCTGGGGCTGGGTTTGAACCCACCACCTCCAGCATATGGGGCTGGTGCCCTACTCCTTTGAGCCACAGGCACCACCCAGGATTTTTGTCTCTTTTATTGACAGCTTTATCCCCAACACCCAAAACCGTGTCAGACATATAATAAGTGCTCGATAAAAATGTACTGAATGAATGCAAATATGAACTCAGAGCTTGCTCAGGCAAAGGATTCGGGACGAAGAAAACAAGACATGCGCATGCCTTCCAGAAGTGTCCAGTCAAAAGGCATTTTCTCATTTTGCACACGATTGAGTTTTCTGTAACTCCCAACAAGCTTATAAAATTTTCTGCCTCATGAGAGAACTGAGGCTCAGAGAGGTGAAATGACTTTCCTAAGGACTTAGCAGGGCCAGGGTGAAAACTGCTGGTCCCCTGACTAATGGACCCCCACTTTCCTGCCAGTGGAGGAGTAATAAGCAATGGATGAAAAAGCCTGAAGGACTCCATGCCATCTACACACCAGAATCCTGAGCAATCTCACACTGTCACTTCAGACAGGGGAAGTGAGGCTGTCCCTGTTTCTTCCTGCCATGGGAACCACATGCTTCTCCATGGTTTGACCACCCTGGAGAGTTCTGAGGCAGGGCAGCAGCTGAT